AAATTCCAACCGCGCAGGGCTCTACTAGACAGGACAGACTAACGCATGGTTTCTTCACACGTCTGACCAGTGAAAGCGTGCGGACAGTCACAAAAGAATCCATCCTCGTCACGGAAGCATTTGCCTCCGTTCTTGCATGGATTAGATATGCATCCGTCCTCTACTCGTTAACATTCATGTTAGTTTATTTATAGATTTGATATGAAGTCATTGTTTGCTCATTAATATGCATATTAGTTCATTCAACCCAAACAAATCACTCCTGTCGATATTACAAATGTTACCATCATAGAAATTATTACCTTTTTTGATTCATTGCTCTCACAATAACGATCATCGACAAATCGACAACATACACACACGCACACAGACAGACAACTGACTCTTAGAACAATCCTTGCCAAAGTAGCCCTCCTTGCACCCATTGGCACATGCACCAGTATTTACGAAACATGGTTCGTCGTTCTTACAGAAGCAATCGAACACGCAACCACCTCCGTGTCTGTTCTTAGGACAGGCTTTGCATTACGACAATCATGTTGCTGATTATTATCATTAACGTATGAATTTTGGAAGATTTAGTGCATTTATTTTCAGTCTATTTTAAAGTCTAAAGAAGGCGTATTATTTTTGAATCTGTAACACATGCACTGTCTGTTAGCAGTTAGCAAATACACGACTTGTTAGTATATGCACGCAGATGTGCCCCTACCATGTGGCACAAAAAATGAATCGCATTTGTTACCAATCATTAAAATTGGCCATGACGCTCCCGGCACTATATAAATGATGCATCATTTACTGTTGATAATATTGTTCTTTTATCATGGTCTGTAAATAAAGAAATCAGCTGTAAAATATCTAATGTTCGCGTGTCAATCAGTTAATCGAGATATTGCATTGATTATGTTAGGTTAACAGTTAACAAATCGCTGCGGACAAAGACCTTCAGTACAGTTCGCTCCGAAAAACCCAGCAGTGCAGTTGCATTCCCAGATAATTTTAACCAAGCCGATGTCAGTGTGAGCGCATTGGCCCCCGTTTTGGCAGAATGATTGGTACTTTATACACGGGTCTGAGTTAATAAAAAAAATCCTTTAATCAAAATCATGAAGCATTATACAGCCATTAACTATTGTAGTTATTTTAAAAGTCAACAAAGTTATATTAAAAAGATAAAATTACAATAAAGTTGTACAAATACATAACTTTGAATTCATTAAAACACGTGCGTCAAACCTGAGAGGTTGCAGGCTTTACCAAGCCAATTTTTCTGGCAACTTGAGTCTCTCATATGACACAATCCATCTTTAACTCTGCATGGCAGCTCGTTGCAGTGGCATCTGTTCTCGCATTGGCTACCAAATCTTCCTTTACGACAAACTGTAGACAACATGTCAATCGATGTCAAAACCAGCATAGGTGTTCAGTTCATAGTTGATAAACATTTTACAGATGAATATAATTTCTATTATTATTTTAATAACTTAAAAAAAATCAAAATTTATAGTTCTAAAACAATAAAAAGAAAGAAAGAAAGTTTACTGAGATAAGCGGCAACAGTTTTCCCCTTCCCACAATAAAATCCTTCAGGGCATCCGGAGTTAACACAACTTGTTGGATCCACCCGAATCCACTCCAGAGGATATTTTTCAAAACAAAAGCAGGCGTTAACCTTAGTTATGTTTCAAATGAAAATTAAAATTTGAATTCGTAACTCTTTTGAAAGTTTCGAAAGTTCTATGAAATGAGTAATATAATTTACCCTTTAATTTTAATCTTACCTGTGTAAAATAAAAGTTGAAATCTGACTAACCATTTAACATACCTTTAAATATAAAAGCAACTTACTTTTAAAGCCATGAATGTAACTTTTTTGGATCGACATTTTTCCAGGCAGATGTCCAGAGCAGGAGCCCCAGAGCCAGTGACATCATCATGAAGCTGGATGCTCCTACCTTTCCTATCCTCATAACAATTTTCGAATAATTTTTTAGATTCGTCCGACCACATCTGAAGACTTGAGCCGAAAAGATAAATTAGGCAGAATGTACACAAAATAAATGACATTATTTCAATGTTTCGTATTCAGTTCAATTCAGTTTAATTCAAAAAGTAACGGTTTGTGCACCTGTCCAGGTAAGCATAAATAATAAATTAAAAAACTGTTAAAATATTTAAATTCATTATAAAAATTAAACTTTTCAATATTTTCCATTCACAACATTATTTTACATTTATTGTATAAATAAATAAATCTCATCAGTTTTTTTTTATTTTTTAATCCTCATTTGAATGTATGAAACACTGAAATATATTAACGATGGTAACGATGATGCAACATTTGGCATTGGAAAGAGTTTAACGTCAAAGAAACATCCATCGTAAACAGTGTAAAAAGTGAATTTCCAAAAGAATAAGTATTTTTGTTGTAAATGAATTTAAAAATTGATAATTAATACTTTTTCAGTTTTCTTCATCAAATTTAAATTAAAATGAGCAATTTTGGAGGCGAATTCAGACGCAAACCTCAACAATCTTTAGGAGGTGCTTCTACAAAAGTAAAAATTATTGTTTTTCTAGAATTGAATAGAATTCTGTAATTCTCACTGAAATGAATTGTCATTGTATTAGTTAGTTAGTTAATTAAAAGATTAATCATATAATTTTTATTAACAAAAAATAATTAATTTCAGCAAAGTAAAGAAGGTTTAATGAAAACTGCTGCTGAAGAAAGAAAGAAAAGAGAAGTGAACTTAAAATTTTAATAATTTATTTTTAATTTTTTAAATTAATTTTAATTTTTTATTAACTTTATTTTGTTTTATCAGTTTTATTCAATTTTTCAATTTAGAATTTCATTAATTTTTGTTAATCAATTGAAATAACATTTGTATAAATTTTAGGATCATAAAAAACATACTGAAAGTGCTAACAAGATACAGGCATTCTTTAGATCATTCTTTTGTAGGATCAAAAAAGTGGGCATTTTATCAATTTTACAGTCAATTAATATTTTAATATATTTAAACTCTAAATGATGAATTACATAGTTATTATACATAAAATTGTTTTTATATAAATTTTTTAGAAAATATATAAATAGGGTAAAACAAAATTCCTTTTTTCCCAAGAAATCATCTGAAAGAAGCAGTTTTGATTCTCTGATTAGCGACTTCAACAAAAAACTAACAACAACAACGAAACGACATGCACCAAACTCAAACACACAAAATGCAGTCCAAGTTGATGATGTTCACCTGTTGGTCACGTTAACTAGAAAGTTTAACTTCTTCATTGACATCAACAATGAAGATGACCAAAAACGATTAGTGTGTTGTTGTTGATGATTTTATTAATATTTTTGTAGATGTTTAGATGCTGATATAGTTGTTGATGCTTTTGTTGGAAATGGCGTCATTGTGACAAAATTTAATGTTTTTACATTAAATTTTTAGATAATTTTTGTTGTAAAATTATTTTTTTTATTAAATTTATAATTAAAAAAAATGACAATGTAACATTTACTGAGAAAATACAAATAACAACTCATGAGGCACTTTCCTATTTCATAATTCAGATACATCTTAGCCAGGCAATAATGACGAAGCAAAAACTTGTCTTCAACAATCTGCTAGCATCTCCATGCTTACTGTTCAACTTGAAAAGGTTGCTCCTATCGTGCTGCAGGCTAGTTTCAATCGAATTAACTTTTTAAATTTAATTTTATATGAGAAATTTATTTTTTCAGATAGGTTTTTTTGGTTCATTTTGTTGATTTTGTTGAAGTTAATATCATGATTTTTATCATTTTGACTTATGTAATTGGTACAGTTTTTTAAATAATAATGAAAAAACAACAATTTATTATTTCAATAATTCACAAATAATGAGTTTACAAAATTTTCTTCCACAGGCTGATCCAGAAATTTTCCCAAGACACGTCCTTAAATCTTTCAATCCCACTAAGAATGCTCGAGATATTCACCGATGCCAAGTCAATAAAAACAGCAACAGCGTCAACAACTTCATCAACATCAACAACAACAACATCAACAACAACATTAAAATCAACAGACCACCCATCAAACATGAAACCAACAACTACTTCAGTAAAGACAGCCAGTCAAACAATAACAAACAGACAAATACTGTCTGATGTTAAACTGTTCCTTTCTGCTAATGGTTTTTTCTGTTGTTACTTTTAAAAGAGGAGATGGAAATTTTTTGAAAAATTATAACAATATGTTTTTTTTTAAATGATGATGATAATGATGATTTTTTAAATGATGATGAATATGATGATGATAATGATGC